AGAGATAGATAGATAGATAGATAGATAGAGATAGATAGATAGATAGAGATAGATAGATAGATAGATAGAGATAGATAGATAGATAGATAGATAGATAGATATTATATAAAAAGAACAAACCTTATGCTAGCATGATTTAAGAACATATTCACGTCTTGGCCGTGGGCATCCATGCCACGCAGTTTTGACCCTGACCAGCTCGCCACACTCTCTGGTGGAGCTGGTGGCCTGTCGATCGGACCAACCTGTGGATGCTGGAGGATTCGCCCGCTGGCGGAAAAAGAGAAAACAGAAGGGCGTGCTATGGCGTGGTGATTTTCGATTCGGAAACGTGTCCCATTTCACGGATTCGTTGATGTTCTAACTGTAACCCTCACAACTAGGGTTTTGGACCGAACCAACATGTAGCAGTTGGTTCGAGTCCAGCCTCTGGGAACTAGGAAATCCTACCCGACAAAAAAAGACGCGAATGGTGACAGCTCTGCCGTGCACCCGCAAGAGCCTCATGACCGAGTGATTGCATCCCGCGGGAATTGCATTCAGCGATGAAAACTCTTCTCAAAGTTGCAATCAGCAAGTGCAACTTTCGTCTGCACATCAATTAGCGTCCATTCGTCTGCAGGTTTGTGGCGTCCCTCAGTGGACATTGCCGGAGAACTCCGGAAAAAGAAAATTGATGCGAATGCGTGCTGTCTGACGAGTTCAAACACAGTGACACCGGCGACCCTTATGGAGAGCAACAGTTGAAAAGTATTCAATTATATGCTCAAGTGGGTTGAGTTTGGACGGATGTTAGATTGTTAGATGGCTCCTTCATTCCTTCTACAGTATACGGACCTGAGTCACTAAGTCATGATTGCTTTAAAATGGTCATTGGTTCCTCAAAGTCATTCTGCTTTGGTCGCATCTACTCTCTGCTGCTGTTTTCCAACAGCACGAGTGCCGGAGTCAATTGCTTCGTGACTCCAGAGCCCCAAAGAAACTCGGAGAACACTTGCCACTGGGCGACTTTGGGCATCCGATTCGGCCCAAAGAGTCTGTGCGTTTTCGGAGAACATGAATATGGTGTAAGCGTCGGTCAACAAGCTTCACCAAGTCAACGATGCTGGAAATGGATTTCTAAAATGTTCTTAGTTCCGTCCACGAGTTTTTCTCGACAGGTTCTCCGTGTCATGCGTTCTGATCTACATTCCATCTTGTAGATCGCTGGCCTTCAGAAAGAAAGGCCGTCACGCACCTGCGCAGGTGGACCTTCCCAGCCACAAAACACGCACGGCCGGAAGGTCACCAGGCCAGAAATGAAAGCATTTCCGTATATAACTCTTCAAATAGACACAATCAAATTCCCGTCCACCCTGCGGACATCGAAAGGTGGTTTATCTAAGAGACCTTTGATGTAGTTCCAGGCAAAGGGATGGCTCAATGCCTCATTTTGCAGGAGTTGGCGCTTCTCACCCTCATCCTCGACCAAGAGGCACACCTCGAAGATCCTCTCTTTGATCGCATCCCGCTTCGCGCGCCGTGGGCGTTCCGACTCGGCCACTCGAGCATGCGGAAGGTGGCAGAAGCCGCAGCTCTCGCTGGAACAGCCACGAGATGAGATAAAGAAGATGCATGGATGGCAGGTGCCCCCTTCATGAGACCCCCGGCTCATCTGTCCAGACGATCCTGTCGCAATCTGGCTCTGTCTCTGCATTGGAGCACTTGGGGAGGCGTCGGAATCAGCCATGGCGCTGAGCGTTTCGTCCCAACAACGGTGGGCAAAACCAGGTGAAACCCCGGAAACAGAGTGACTGATGTGGAAAAAGATTTTGGAGGGTGAGTGCAGGGGCCGTGTGCGTCCGTCCTTAAATTGATCTTAAATGTATAGATCTGATCTGCTGCATCCTTCACAAAACATGCTTCCAATCGCTCGGGAGAGGCCTACCAGTCGTCCTGGAAGGCCTTCCAGGCCCCAGAACTCCACATCGTGAGCCGGCAACAGCATGGTCTCGACGGGTCTCGACGGGTCGTGGCCCTCCTCCCCTTGTGGCCGGACCATTCCAAGTTAAGATCAGAGGGATCTCCAAACGATCAACAGCGCGAGGTAGACTCACTTGGAAATCGCGAGGGCAAAAACCGGCAGAACTCAGGAACTTGAATCCCAAGAGTGCATCTCTCACCCTTTGGATCTCTTTCTTTAGAAGCAAGAGACAGATTGGCGGACAGAAAATCGACCAGGGTTCCGTACCTGGGTACCTGGTGGGTGAGTGGATTGCGAGTTCCTCAATTTCGCCACACCGACTTTTAGGGACCAAAGGGTTTGACAGCGCGAAGCGCTTCCGCATGTCCCAAACATCAATAGAAGTCAAAGAAACTCAGAAATGGTGTTCAGTAATCCATCTCATCAGTAATCCATCAATAGATCGGAAACTCCATATCCCATCAAAAGAAATGGTTACTCCAATGTGGCAAAGTGAAACCGGATGATTTCACAAAAAACGACTGCTGGGGACATTTTGGGATACGGTTTTAGGGGTGTGAAAAAGGGTGATTCCGGGCTCAGCCTTGCCGGGCAAAAGAAAGCAGTTGACACACCAGCGCCATGCTCCAAACAATGTTTGCCTTTGGGAGAGTGCTATAGACGTTGCGAGTAGTACTGTGCCATGCTGACATCAGGTCAGTCAGTTGATCCAGGTCGGCACCGGAGGCAGTTTTCTGTCATTCCAAAAACCGGACTCAAGAGCTTCCCTCCTTGGGGGGGAACCCCCACCTTGACCAAATCACCTGGCTTGGGAGGTCAACGCATGAGTTTCTCTCATCCATCCATCCGTCTGCACTGGATCGTTTCGCGTCTGCACTGTCTGCTCAGCGCTTTGTTTCGTCTTCGCTCGAAGTCTAGGGCCCAGCTGGCACGAGATCTGGGCTTTCGTACTGGACAAAAATTCATCACGGTCTTGGCGAACCCATAAGTCGATAAAGCCAAACATCATCTTGTAAGGATCAAGTGCTTGAAATCTGTGTTGGCTTACGTAGTTCGCTATTAGGTTGAAGGCTATTGCTGTTAGGGTGGAGGCCATGGCTCTTTGGTTGGAGGCCATTGCTTCTAGGTTGGAGGCCATCGCTATTAGATGCCTATTAGGACCCTGAAGCTTTCCCTTGTTTCGATTGCCAATGGGCGCCACCGTCCACGATGCGACAAATCCCAAACCAGCCACCCAGTCACCTCAGGGCCTCAAGGCCAGAGTTCCGCTGGGTGCGCTGGGACCAAAACCGCACCGCGTTCAGGGCCGAGGCGCCAGGACCTGCACAAGACCTCAGTCGGGTCGGCGAGTGAATCCACTTGGCGATCCAAAGCCACAGACCACTTGAAGAAGTCCTTGTGTTTTAAGCAAATGTGGCCGGATGGTGATCCCAAAACAGAACAGCTGAACAACCTGTCTTATGCTCCAGGCCGAAAAAACATGAGATTCACGGACCTCGAGGTCTTTGATGGGTCAACAAAGCATAATCCCTAAGACCCCCGCAACCCAACCCAACGTCACCCGCAGCCCCCAACGAGCTCTCCGGGGTGCACCACCTGGGGTCCCGGGCGTCTTGGCAGCACCAAAGCCACGGTCCGAAACGAGTTTTGAAGCGAGTCGATACTCGGCGGCAAGCTGGTGTTGCCCGGCCCGAGGAGAAGAGCCCCCCGCCCAACTGCCAAGGAAGAAAGATGCGAAAAAAACATGACCGTTGGAATGTTAGGACCGTTAGGAACGATCAGGAAGGGTTACCTTGAAGGAACCAGAGTTGTTTGGCACACTTCCCACCCAGCAAAGCGCATGCTTTGCTGGTGACCATTTCGCAGTCCGACCCGAACCCATCTCATCTTTACCCTGAAAGAAGTTTCAAACCTGCCCGTGTCTTCATGTACATGTGTTTGTAGAACTCAGAATTGATGCACGCAGCAAGCGGCAGTTGCTTGCAACAAAAAGGGGGCTCTGTTCAAACGAAGGAAACAGCTCTGCGGTGCTCATCTCAAGCGCAGATCAGGACCAAGCCTCCACCGTGTAACCTCAGGTACCAGTCCGGCTCGGGAACCGTCCGTAGACGTCGCCGCAAAAACGACGTCGCCGCCGCGAACGACGTCGCCGCCGCGACGTCGCCTGCGACATGGATCCCGTTCCTTCACAGGTCTGTGACGGGATTCCTTCACAATAGCTTGACCCCCTCGGCATCTGAAGAAAGCTGCAAGACTTCTTCAGAGAGTTCTCCTCCAATAGCAGCGGCACTGAGGCGGATTTCAGATCAAACATTCACAGGGGATTCCAGAACAGGAGCCCTCTACAAACTAAGAGTAATTGAAAGCTTTGAGGACCAGAATCAGTCAGACTGGTCACCATGGATGACAAACATGTAATGCCTGACTTTCCCTGCCCAGATGGTCGGAGCCTTAAGCCACACCCTGACCATCTGCCGCTCAAACCATCGCCTGTTCGCTCAAAACCCATGGCCGCATATGGCCGCCGAGTTCCCCCTCTAAAGAACACTGGTCCGCGTCGTCAAGAACATCCGCCAATGTGTTTTCTCCCCCAAACAAATGGGTGTGTATTTTAATAGGGAAACATCCAACCAATGAGTAGACTGGTCTTTGTTCCTTCTTCCAGCGGGCCTTTGGGAGGTCTCCCTGTTTCAATACGCACCCAAATATTCAAACATGTGGTTGGCGAAGATGCACAGGGAGATTGCCACAGATTTGCAAATGACACCTCTCTCTTGTCTTGGGTCAATCCAGTTTGTCACATTGTCGGGCCGGGCTGGTGGTTCGTTCAAAAATCTCACCAATAGTCAGTCCATGCACCGACCAAACTGGTGTGAGTCCGGAGATTTCTCCACCGAGAAATCCTCCATTTCGATCCATTTCGCCCAAGCTACGGCCCTCCATCTTCAGGTTCGAGAGGATGGCCTCCGCCTCATCCTCATTCACCCGCTCGTTCGCCATCATCACCTGCATGTCTTGCGTACACAGTTTGGACATCAGCGCAGCTGAAAACCACCGGCAGCTGAAAACCACTGACCTGCCCAACTCGTCATCGGCGTCGGGGTGGTCGGTGGAAGGTGAGCTTGGCCCAGTGCTCTCGACCAGCTCGCTCCACCCGCGGGGAGGTTTAGGGAGGTTCCCGCGCTCACTCTGAGACTGGTTCGACCTGCAAACAGAGGTTGCGGTGGCCTGATAAACAGGTGTTTCTACTTCAAATCTTGTGTCCCAAGACGCTTTGGTCCACACCCATCATGTCAAATCTGGACCAAGAACAGGATCCAGCATCCCACAAAATTTCTGGCTAATGCCCTGTTATTGAATTGGCAACGGACGGCCCGAGAGCAAAAGATATGATATCAAGGTGCGGTGTTTACATTCATTAAGAGACTCCACTGGCATGGAAATGTGTTCTCTCACAAAGAGAAAAACATGTCTAGAACTGCGGCATGTTTCTACTCAACACGAAGGTCTCGACCTCAAGTCAAAAGTTTAGAATGCAACGTCAACGTGTTTGCCCATGTGCCACGTTTGCGGCGCGTTTGCCCAAGTCAGTGCGAGGTGTGTTTTTGGTTGTTTTTGTTTTTGTGATGTTTGCTAAAAACCAGTTGCGGTGTGTTTCTGGGAATGTGGCATGTTTCCTCAATGCCGCTTATATAAATATCAGTGTTTCATGATAACAGCAAAAAAAGCGCAGCAAGATTCCCTCAGCATAACAAGCAGGTTTGTTCTAAGAAGATGTGAGGGAGGACAGCCGTCGTCTGTAGAAATGAAGGCATTAGAACTGCTAAGTGAAACAACTCAAGCATCTGCAGCATGTGGTGCCTAGACAGTCGCCAAAACGGAAATTCCTGGCAGCACTTGTGCTCCCGGGCGAACCCAAAGCAAAAAAGCACATTTTGTTGTCAAACTCTCCTTGCTCATCTGTTCGTCAGCAGGCTGAATGTCATCTCATCATCCGTAGGGTCGCACTAGGCGCAGGTGGCCAATGCGATCACCAATGAAACGCGGGCAAACTCCTCAAAAACGTGACATGTGAACATGCAAGACGGACATCATTCCATGAGTCAGCGGCTGTGCTTGCAGGCATTCACATCGGTATCGCGATCGCATGCATTCTCATTTGCAATGAACCTGAGTCACTGTCATAGTCACTTTCAGGACCATGGAACAGTGCGGTCCCCACTCGGCCAATGCCACAGCCACATCATCTGCGCGTTTCGTTCGCCAACGATTCACTTCAATCCGGTGATGCCCCTTCCGACAGCGAAAACGCACGACCCGAGCGCGCCAGGCCGACAGCCACAGGGGAAGCGACATTCACTTCAATTCATGTCTACGACCCGCACGACCCGCACGGTACGAACTACCGTCCTGCTCCGTGGGGCGCCAGCGCCGCCCCTAGCGGCCCTAGCGGCCAGTGCCGCTCCCAGAAGCGGCCGTACATGTCATCCCAGTCGAAGAGTCGAACAACAACGGGTGAAAGAAGCAGTGAACCGTGGACCGTGCAAGGTGGCCACGGTCCCGCAGACGGACAGTCCAACTCGCTGCTCCAAGTCCGGAAAACACGCCGTGTTTCACGGTGTCTCTGGCACCGAAGCCCCGATGCGCAAGCGCAAAGAGACCAGCAGCTTCTGATGATCAACCCAGGTGGAAAGCCCCATGAACTCCGAACCAGTTTCTGGAATGTCCGCCCACAACGAGTATGTAGGAATAGCAGCTTGTCACACTGGTGACCCCCAACGAGTCAAACCCACAAAGGAACCAAAGGAACTTCGGGATCCTTTTTCTCATGTCCGATCCAATGGAATGAGGTGGAGCCAGTGTATTCAGAAGTGGGAGATCCCCTGACCGCTGGCCTAGGACAAGGATATTCTTCTAGGCAGGGTCCCTGTGGCACATCAAACCCCCTTGTTGCTGCCACTGCCACCACCTGGATCCACTCTGCCCGATCTACCCCTCTCCCTCTGCGCACTCTGCCTCCTTCATGGCAGTGTAGATGTCCTGATGATGTGTTCAGTTGACAAACCCACTCAGGTTTGGGCTGTTTTTGAGCGCTGAAGCTAGTAGTTTGGACACAAAGGTGGATAACAAAATCTGCAGACCTTGGACGACATCATCCCTTCGATATGGATTGAGGTGCATTGCCAGAAGGAAAATATGAGGACATCATCAACAATTCATGTCACGCGTCTGATTTCAAGGGTAATATGTCATATCAGTCATATCATATCAATATCATATCAATGTATCAAGGGGCTTTAAGGGTTCTACAAGTATCATCGTGCTGGAAGGAGACCCACCACTCACTTCGAGGCATGGACGAGGGGCGACTTCTGACAGTGTTTCTTGCGACCGACGACCGTGCAGACTGACACGTGACCACGATCGCACGACTGGGTGAGTTAAAAGAAAGGCGGTGTGGCTTGACCATCAAAACATCTTGGCAAAAAGACACTGGAAAACATCTGGAAAAGTACAAGACATCCCTGGAGAAATCCCATCGGTGGGTTGATTGATCGAACCTTGGGATTTTGGTGGGCCAAACAATGAGTTCTTGCAAACCCATCTGGTTAGAATGGTTTGAGGATATCATGGATATCCCAAGTTTCCTTATGGGTCATGGGGTCATGGGATCATTTTGGACGAAGGCTGCTTTGCGGAATCCGGCTGTCCTGCGACTTTTTTCCTCCGGGTGAGAGTCCTATCCTGTATGTGAACTATCCTGTAGTCCTCCCCGAACTTCTGTATCAGGATTTTCTCAAATGCTGCAGGGTTTGGAAGATGATTTTCCTTTATCGAATGGCGGCGAGGCGTAGTGAACTGAACCTCCCGCAAGTTCCAGGCACCCTCTCTGAACAAGGATTATGTGCTGAGTGTGGTCCGATGATACAGAGTTACAACCAGCTAGTTCATTGAAGATGAATATTAAAGCACAATAATTAAACATTCTGCCGAATCATGTCCATGTTTGCTTTAGTCTCGGCCCAGCAACCTGGCTGCGGGTCGCGAACCATCCTTCATCCACACAGAGAGTGAACATGTCAAATATGTCTCTCCCAAAAATGAACTCCCTCCCCTCCGCGACCATGTCCTCCCTCTCCGCCCTCTCCGCACCTCAGGGACTTGTCGCGCAGAGCCGCACACGTAGAAGTGACCCTCCTGCTTCAGCATGCACTGGTGGACGGCCTCCCCGGCCTGGTCACATGGAGAGCGTGTTACAGGCCACGTAGTGCGCCGGACCCGTCGGTCGAAGCGCCGAAGCGTCGAAACTGTGGCGACTCGCGGGCATGGACTTCCCACGTCTGAGCCCAGAATGGAAGAGTTCCATGAAGATCTTGGAGGATTCTGCTTTTTCATGCCTTTTCATGGTTGCAGCCTAACACTGTTCGACTTGGAACAAATGCTACACTGATCAAAAGGAACATAAGATTCGTCAATCAGAAAATCCTCTGCCAACCGTTGCCAAAAGGGGTTGGACGGAATGACTGAATCGTGACAAGCATTGCTCCAGGCTTTCTACATAAAAAACAGCACAACTTCAGATTTCCCGCTGCAAAGACGTACCTGGACCATCCTGGACGCAAGAATCGCTGGCAAACGACGTAGGATACGTACGTACCGACTCCCAATAAGTCGAGAGGTTCTTGTTTTCTCGATGTGTCTGGCCCCCAAAAGTGCACAAGACTCATGTGCACAAGCAAATGAACAAGAATCGCTGTGTTACAACAAATCCCTCCACCAGACTCTGGTCCTGTCTGAATGTGTGAACCACCTGACTTAGCGAAACGAATGCGAAACAGTTGCCTCCACAATCTTGTGCTGCACATAGATCTTGCGCGCCTGGCTTCGAAGAAGACTGGAGAAGCATCCAAGTTCGAGAATCGATGGTCAAGGGTTCCAACCAAGTGAAATACCTATGTGTGAAAGCCATATACTACCTCAAGATCCTCAACCGTGGATTCCACCCTCTGATACCAGGTGTTTCCAGCCGGAAAACACGAAAGATCAGCGAAGCGTAAAGCGCCGTAAAGCGCAGGGAGCGACAGCTTAGGCTTCGCGATGGCCTCCAACCTAACAGCGATAGCCTCCAAGGTATGGTCCTGTCATGACTCCAAATGGTTGTGCTGCCCCAAGAAAGGTAGTTCAACGACCATGCCGGAGAAGAAACGCCTCAGAGGTGTCCGGACAGAGATCTACGCAATTCCTTTCGAAGAGGTCAAAACCAAAGAGACTCCCAAGCACCACAGTATTGATCTATACATGTTTTCCTTACCTCATATTCCTGCTCGAGCAGTGCTTCCTGATCTTGTGCGTTCTCCATGTCCACAAAGGGCCCGCAAAGAAAAAAGGCAGGTATCCATCTTGCCAAAGTGTTTGGCCCCTGCATGACCCTCCATGCACCCTTTCCATGAGCGGGGACAACATGAAAAGCGTCTCGGTTTTGGGGCCAGAAGCGTGATCCATGAGACCTTGTCTTACCCCGCCGGTCATGTTCCAGGAAAGCGACAGGATCGAAAACCAGCACTTGATCGGTCTTGGTGGGTGGAGGGCGTCAAATCGGTCCTGGCTGAGCTTCGGATGTAGACTATAAACCGCCTCCATGTGGATGCACGCACTTGCGGACGATCAACGCACGCGCCCACGGCCATCATCGGCCATCCCTTCCCGGCTTTTCTTACCCCCACCCGTACCGCCTCCATCTGGATTGAACTGCCTCTTCATACGGGGGGGGTTATAAATCAAGAGTATACATGAAACTGATGTGTAAAGTGTAAAGGTCCCCGTACGAAGAGGTTATACAACCTCTGGCGAATCGGGGCGAAGGATTGTGTGTCCGAATCGGGCCGTGACGCGGCGTTTCGTGGGCAACAAACCGTCCGAAAGCGAGCGCGATAGAAGAGGTTTTACAATCCAAATGGGGTGGTATGACGACGCAAGAGTCTATACTTTTAATGTATGTTACCCCTTTGGACCCCAAAAGACTTTGCTGTATTGTCCGACAGTCCTTAGCTCTCGCTGGATCGAACCTTCGCAGCGAGTACTGGCGGCAAGAAGTCTCTCCGCGCCTGCTCACGCGAGAAGGCCGTGTGCATAGAGAGGACACCTTCCTTGATGTAGCTCTCAAACTCGTCTTTGTAGAGGTATTCCTGGAATTCTGCGCTGCGAAGTGAGGATCTGAGGATCAGAGACCCTTCGACCTTGTGGGAGGGAGAGGCTGAAATAGTAACTGTATAGACTTAGTTTGGTGTCTGCCTAGGCCTCTTTATCTGTTGAAGCCTGGGACTATCCTGGACTATTCCTAGACCTATTCCTGGACTATTCCTAAACTATCCTGGACTATTCCTAAGATAGTCCTGGACTATTCTCAAAATCATCTTGAAATGATCCTGGAATATGTCTTTGGGATTCTAAGAATCTGAAAAGATGCACTCACAGCACGCTGAGTTCCCTCGCAAAAACCGCATGCCGCATGCCGCATACATAAATACTCTTTTTTTTTCGAAGCTGCGAGCTGACTGCTGAGTTGCGTCTTTGCTGGTCTCATGTTCATTTGAGCCTCTCTATCCCCCCATGCTTTCCCCAGCCTGGAAGGCGAGGCTCGAATCAAAATTCAAGATTCAAGCCGCTAGGTAGAGCTTTGGAAAATTCAGTCTCTACTGCCGCGACACGGCCTTTGCCTTTGCCTTACTCTTCGGCTCTTTGGAAGTCTGAGCTTTGCCCCTTTTCTGCTTCTTTCCCAGCCTCAGCCAAAACAATTACATTAAGTAACATTGTAATTTGTAATTGTAACATTGTAACATTGACGTCTACAGGTCACGAATGGTCGGAGTAGTAGTCGGAGTCGCCAGAAGGTTGAGTTTATCATTGGCCGCTGATCACCGATCTCCCATCACAACTTCTCTGGAAAGAAACTTGCAGTAACGCACACGTCATATGACCTGACGTGGTTGAAAATGAGTTGGAACTCTTAGTTGTTGAACAACACTTAGAAACATATTGTGTTTCCAACAACTTCAAAACATCGAAAACACATGATCCACGACCGTATTATTGCATGTTCCGTATGTATATGACTCGAGTCTATGGATTATGTCACTTGCATCATGTGTGATAGATACAAGATACGCTAGATGCTAGACACTACAGCATGATTCATGATGCTGATATGATGATATGATATGACTGATATGATTCAATTGATATGACTCATGACTTGATATCAATATCATTAATTAATCCTGGAATCCTGCATCTGAATAATTTTTAGTCAATGTCAATGTCAATGTCAATTCTGATTCCCGATTGCCAATAATTTTCATACTAACAATTAACATATATCATGAACTGAACATTAGTAACATTAGTCAATAGTCCAGAACGGTTCCGGACGGTTCTGAACTATTTCATGGACTGAAGTACAAGCGATAGTCCAGGACGGTTCCGAACGGTTCTGTACTATTGCTGAAACAGCTCCTGACGATAGTCCAGAACGGTTCTGAACGGTTCTGAACTAAAAGTTTTAGCGATGGTTCAGAACGGTTCCGGACGGTTCTGAACTATCCTTAACCCCGGACTATTCCGAACTATTCCGAACTAATTGGTGGATTTGCTATGGATAGTCCAGAACGGTTCTGGACGGTTCTGAACTATGCCTAAAACACGACGTCCTTTTAGTCCAGAACGGTTCCGAACGGTTCTGGACTATTTCTAGAGTTACCCACATCACTCGCATCATGTGCAGTATGTTTTTTTAAAGTATTTTTAGTTGATCTTCTACAATGTTGGATTTCCCTGATGGTTGAATGGACGGATGATCAATGGTTGGTTGGTTGGTCTTAGTCTTGGTCTTAGTAACTCTTTCATCATGTGTTTGCCCTGACAACCCGCTCTCCAAAGCAAAGCCAACACGAAGGTAAGGGCTCAAGTTGACATCTCATCTGGCCAATGAATCCGAGCCACAATGAGAGAAGCGAACTGGATGTCAAGACTCTCCAGCTCCCGGTTGTTGAACAGGGCAAGTTTAGACGAGTCCAAATGGCGTTCTGAGTAGCGGGTCTTGTTGCCTCCCTCTCTCAGGCCCAGAGCCCTCTCACAACGTTCCACGAAAGCGGTCCTGCGACCTGTAACTCTGCCATCCTGACAGGGTCAGATGGCACACTTGAAAAAATCTAAAGTTTCTCGATTAGTCCGGGGTGGTGTTTTAGGAATAGTTCGGAGAGGTTTAGAAATAGTTCGGAGGGGTTTAGAAATAGTCCGGAGTGATTTAGAAATAGTTCCAAAAGGAAAATCCTTACTTGGGCTGGGGGGGTTGTTTCTGGCAACCTGAAATCCTAATCTGGTGGTCTTGGGAGGATGGCTGACGCGCCCAAGCCGAAACATGGAACCTGCCAACTGATCCCACCCGCAGCCTTAGACTTCTCTGGGTAGTGGGAGTCACGTCCCAGGAATTCCTGTACCCGCTCCACGTACAAATTAACATCTGCCAACGTGCTGCGTGTCTGAAAAGTGTGAGAAAGCACATTCCGGATCAGGTCACACAGAGCCAGGACTCGATCTTTCGAAGTCAGATCCTTTCGGACCATCAGGATGTAGCATCGCTTCCAGACCCGAACCACGCTGAACTTAGTTGGTGGATTTGGGGGCTTGGCTTGGAATGAATGAAGCATCTTGCATAATGTAGTACTCACTCAGTGATTCAGGCTATAATTATGACAGTCCGGTCAGTGGTGAGTGTTGTCATTAGTAAGAGCAAAAATTAAATGGTTGCCAACTACGTTAATAGTTTCAATAATAATTACTATTATATATATGACAGCTCCCTGATAGTCCATGGCAATGACAATACAATAGCCTATAGCCTATAGCCTAATAGCCTATACTTGATGCCACCAAGAGTCAATTCTTTGATCCCAAGCCGCTTGCAGTACTCCAATGGCCAGTTCAAAAAGGGTAGAGTCTTGCCTTCCAATGGCACTTCCAATGGCATTACCCTTGGCTTCTGATTCAATGCAAGTCCAAGTCCAAAAGACAACTAACACTTGGCCCCTGCCCAGTGGTCAGAATCAAAATGAATGAATTGAATTCGCGGGCCAACACCCAGCAACCAACAGTGATGCTGATGCTTCGATATTCGTCGATTGGCTGAACCCGTCACTCAGAAATGTCAAGTGTGACATGTCCGTATCTGGTCTCAACGTCAGGAGTCAAGTCACTCAAGTCAAGAGTCAAAACAATGATAACAAAAAACAATTTCGATATTTACTATATAGGCCCAAGGTTCCTCTCAGAACTCTTGTCAAACAGCTGAGACATTGGACCCTCCGAGTCAATCGAGCTCTCATCATCACCACCACGATTTGAGAAGCGGCGCATCATTGCAAACTGGGCTACGTGCTACGTATGTACTGTAAAAATGGACTAACTTTATCCCATGGTAGTATCACTGTATCACCACTGTACTTTTGTGACACAGGTGCCAACCTAATCACCAACACGCAGCAAACCAGAGCCTAAACAGCCGTGGCACATATAGGCTTTGAAGAAGCTCATGCAGTTGATCTGGTTGATCTTGAACGGGCTGTGCGGATAGTTGCGGTTCTGCTCGTGGAGGAGGGGGAGGTGGGGGAGGTGGGGGAGGTTGAGGACAACGCCTACGTCGCAGTGGTGGTAGTTGCCGCTTTGCTGGCAGGCGTGGAGGCCGTGGTGGAACAGGTAGTGGTGGAGCAGCTTGCTTTCTCTTCTTTACTCGCTTCCGTCTTTTAATCTTAATGCGGCGTTGGCCTTGGTGATGTCGCCCTTGTTTTTGCTGCGCGCTGCTCTTTCCCATTGCTGGACCAGTTGCACATGGGACATGATTGAGACAGGGCAGTGCAATGCTGCAATGCAATGCTTTAGAGCTCAGTTGTCAGGTGTAATGCAATGCTAGTCTGATTGCCTGTCGCAAGTGGTTCATGGAATGTAAACACTGTGCTGTGAAGTGTTCCTTCCAAAGATGCTGAAAATCGAAAAGCATCCAAGCACAAACAGACAGACCCTCACCAAGACCCAGTCCAAAATATTAATTTAGATAGGCTATATATAAGCTAGTAGTAATAGTAGGTATTTAAGAATAGTTCCACAGCATTTAGGAATAGTTCCCAAGTATTAGGGAATAGTTCCCAAGTATTAGGGAATAGTTCCCAAGTATTAGGGAATAGTTCCCAAGT